AGCAGCTGCTGTACTTGCCACCTCTGCCTTGTTTGTGCTGTTTTCGGTATTATTTCATAAAATTTAATACATGAATTTATACCTTCGCCCACGCCGTTGGAGTCAGTCCGTCGTTGTCAATTATGGAGAGAACAACCAGCACTGTATTTCCATTTTTTTTTCCTCACATGCACTAACATTCATGGATGTCTGACAATTTCGTTGCTAAAAACATCTATAGATATAGAGACCACACTCATTATGCGCTACTGTTGCTCTCACAGAACAGATATGCTTTTTTATCTAATAAAAAGTACCGTCAGTTGAAATACTGCAGGTGTCAGTGCTTTCTCTCCATCCATGCAATAGATGCACACCCTTGAATGAGTGTGGGTTTCTAGTGCATTTACTTGAGGTAATATCTTTGTTTTAAGCCATTTGAGAAATTGAGAGGCGGCCAAAATCAGATTTTAAAATGGACTGAATAAAGCTCTTTACGGACTTGACGTGCGATGCCATGCTGACTGTCATTTATGTGCATGAATCACTGTCACATCCACAAGCTCAGAGCAATATTGCAAATTACTGATGATAATACATTTTTATAGCAGAATAATTATACATCACGATACACAGTCTCACTTTTAGTTACGTCTTTTAACTATAATAATATTTCGAAGGGCAAAAACATGAACTTTAACTACTGGCTTTACTTCTTCAATCAGCTGTCACTTTAGCGCGAGGCCAGTAGCATATAGCATTAGCACCTCAGCACCTATGGTTTAGAGTATCCATCCACCATTGCTGCACTGATACGAATGTCTCCCAAGCGTTGTCGGTGTTGTGTAGCTGGATGTATTAATCCACATAGCTCTATCTATTTACCAAAAAGTTGCTCCTGAAGGATGTAGCAGTGCCAACTGTTAGTGATCCAGCTACACATAGAATTATTACGCGTTTGTTTTCCAAATTTCCTTTGAATTTTTAAAGCTCATAATAACATGTTAGACTTATAAAATTTGTGATAGCAGCACCTTGAGTCCGTCCGGATATGTTGTTATTTTTTATCGTGCAGATAGTGGAATCTTTATTTGTAAAGGACAGCACATGAAACTAAATCTATGGAATGTGTGGTAGCTGCTTCGTTCAATAGGCCTATTTCACAAAATGGTGACCCAGACCTGAAGTAGGGTGGCGATTCTTCCAGTCGCGCCTCCCCCCGCTACGATCGGCATTCATTCTCAAAATGGACTGTGAACAGCTTGTTTTCTTTTCCTGTTTATGGTTTTCTCTTTCAGTCATTCAAATATGTGACAAAAGTAAGAATAGCAGATGTTGTCCGTTTTGTTGATAGTTTTCAGGGAGCTGTGAAAAGATCGAAATTAAACAAGGGTAACAAATTTTGCTTAAATAAAAAAGTTAAAATGGCATGACACTTGATGACTAAGCTCACACTTACTATATCTAAACAAAATAAAAAAATAAAATAAAATGATGTCTGATTGAGTGAAATGTAGTGGCTTTTGTTAGAATATCATGTTATTATTAACTGTTAGTTTGTACAGGAGATTGCAGCAATCATCCACTAGATTATGGCTTAACACCATGAATGAAACTAAGAATTGTACATCTTGACAGTGAATTCGACAGTGAATATCCACCTTTTTCTGTGCCCGTTCTATTTCCCATGATTCATAGCGGATTCAACTGACTTGACGGTTTTCTACTTCCTGCTGTCCTTTTTTCACTAATTGTATCTTAATTTAAATTAATGTTTCATCAACCAATCGCCCGGTTTTAATAAATAAGAAGTATATAGTAAACAATAGATGATCATGACGGAGCCGACAGCACGCAAACTGGACTTTGGTCTCATGAATGAAACTCGGCGTAACGTTATGCCTAACCTCACTGGCCTGAGAAATATATAGACTATGCATCTTTGAAAGCAGATGTTGACAGGAGTCAAAGGGCTAACCATCCTAACCTTATAGTACTGTTATTCTGCAGCAGTCGGGGTGATAGAAACGGTCGGATGTTTGCTGGATTAGGGAGATCGTGCAGTCATGCATCAGCTATCCTTTGGATACATTTTTCGATTTAGTTTAGCGATGTGGGGATGACACAATCTAAAACACATGGCAAAAATGCATAGACCAGACTGGAACCGGAAGTTGACTCGTTATGGCGGCGCCCATTATTTAGAGCAGAAAAAGGTGGATATGAATGGTTTTACAGCATATTTGAAAATATACAGAATAATATATGGTGTCAATATATTACAATATATTGAAAAATACATAAGGAATCCCATATATTTAAAGGAGCTGTATGTAAGATTGTGGCAAAAACTGATACTGCAATCAGTTTCAAATTACTGTAGAGCGGTGTATAGACACTTCGCTAATAATTTTGAGCGAGACGTTTGGAGCAATACAAGCACTTTCTCTCCCGTTGTTGTAAATTTTCACAGTTTGGCTCCCCTGTTGTATAGCTGGCTTTGTCTGTTCTGAGCCTGTAGCAAATTCTCCGTAGAGAGCCGCCCCAGTGTATGGAGTTTTGCTCGCAAGTCGAGAACATACTGAAGTTCATTTTTGCTCTCCAAAGGTCCTTTTGCTCTCCAAAGGTCTTTGATGTATGGAGGTCTGGTTACAACCTGAATCCACCAAAGCCCAATAATACTCATCGGTGGTGGCCTAGTGGCAGGAAGTGGGTCAAGGGATTGCCGTGAGCAGGAGGGGGAAGCGGGAGCCAAGGTGGCATCCAGGTTAGTGGGCCCTACCCAGGGGGGTCCAGTCATTGGGTGCTGTCCCTGTCCGGTCCTCCATTTGGAGATTGGAGCGGAACCTGGGCAGAGGGATAGGTTCAATAGGGAGAGAGTGAGAGAGATCGCTAAAAGGGGTGGGCCGATCCCGAAGCACGCCACCATCTGGTCCTCCGCCAGTTGAATGGCCTGGTCCAGCGACACCGGCCAGTGGCACTGGTCCCACTGTGCAGTTCTCTTCGGGAAGTGGGCAATGAACTGCTCCAGTACCACCTTTTCTACGACGGCCTTGACGTCACTTTCCCCGGCCAACAGCCATTTGCGACAGGCGTCCCGGAGCTGCTGGGCCATCACAAAGGGCCAGCCGCCTTCCTCCATCTGCAGCGACCGGAAGCGCTGACAGTGCTGCTCTGGGTTCAGGCCGACCCTTTGGAGGATAGCCTTCATCAGATCTTCGTACATCAGTAGGTTCTGGACTGGCAGTTGTCGGGCAGTTTTCTGTGCCTCCCCCGACAGCAATGGAATCAAGCGCACTGGCCAGCTGGTCTTGGGCCACTCACATGCCTCGTTGTTGAGGGACATGTGAGCGGTGCTGGTAGCTTGGCTGGGGGGAGGGCCTTTCAGGGCTTGGCCCCTAATGAAACCATTACAATACTTTTGCAGTTACTATTTTTGATCAAATACTTGGTGGGTAAAATGTATTATTCAAATTAAAGTGAATATACTAAACTAAAAGTTGCTAATGTAGAACTGTAATTTCACACCACATATAATTTGATACACCCCTCATTAAAGTATTACTTAGGGTGTATTCACACCTGCCTTGTTTGGTTCGATTGAATCGAACTCTAGTTCGTTTGCCCCCTTGGTGCAGACCTTTTGGGCAGGTGTGAATACAGCAATCGAACTCGGGTGCGGACCAAACAACCGAACCGAGACCCAGCTGAAGAGGTGGTCTCAGTACGGTTCCAAACGAACTCTGGTACGGTTCGTTTACGGTGTGAACATGAACCGACCCAATTGCAAGAAAGCACTGCATCGAAAGAGAATATCCGGCGCGCTGTCTGGCCACACGATACTGCTGCGTGTCTTTCTGCGCGTCGTGTGTGCATCATTGGAATGAATGAATGAATGAATGAATGAGTGTGTGCATCAGGACATTCACATACGGAGCGTTCTCTTTAGTCTAATTGCGCATAGATGCAAAAAAATAAAATAAAAATCATTTGCAGTTCATAAAGCATTTGCAGTTCACCACCTTTTGGTAGTGGTTGACGAGATTCCCCCTTCTATGTAAAGCGAGTGCCGAGAAAAGTTCTATATAAATGTAATGAATTATTATTATTAATGTAAGGATAGTTACAATACAAGGATGATGATGCGTTCATTTACGTTAAACTGGACAAACTTAATCGCAAGCGTTAACATTGACAGCCCTTTAGTACACAAGAATCTCATTATATGAATGAGTGAACATAGCCCCTCTCTATGAATGAAAACTTTATACCTTATCCATCTTCTGTGCAGTGCCACTTGTAATGCAAAGTTGAGATGTTGCCCAAGATAAAAAAAACAGTAGATGGTCGAATGAAAAGATGCACGAGAGACGTGAGTTGTCGTTTTTCCCCGCGTTTAATAGAACCACTCAAACGTTACACTCGTCGTCTTCTCAAAATCCGAATTACAACATCGTATAGATGACATTGTATCATATGATACTCATTAGTTTCTTCATATTGCGTTTGTACAGAATTAACACAAAATTAGTAAAAGAACAAATATTGCAGTACGAAATATATAGAAATATCTCCATGCTGAGCCTTTTTTGCACTTCCTGATTTCCCTTGAGAATCCTTGTCCAGTGAATGGACGACCTTAGCACACGTATGGTTTGGTTTACAAATTTTGGTTCACTTGTAAAAACAGCAGTGTGAAAGCGAACCGTACCAAAAAAAAAAAAAAAAAATTTAATTGGTCCGGACCAAAGCAAGTGAACTATCGGACTTTCCTGGTGTGAATACACCCTTAAATATGCTGTATATCATAATTAACTTAGTGACCCTATACTATGGAGTTTCTCATTTGTTGCTCAGAATCAGCTGCACTACTACTACCACCACCTAATGGCAATGGCTAATTGGCCAATAATGGCAGACAGGAAACAAGAAGCTGGCTGAAGTTCAGGAAGTAGTGCAGCTGGGCATAAAGCCCATTACAGTGAGGTTCATTATTTGTGTGATTATGTTTGTTTCCTCAGGTTTTATAAAGATGTTTTAGAAGAAGGTGAGAGGAAAAGGTCTAGTCTGCTCTGCCTGCAGATTTTATGCGTCTGGGCATCAGAGTATGTTTCTGCTACTGGAGAGAATTACAGTGAACTGTTAACATCAGTGTGCAGCTACCCAAATTTCCCCTGTGGAAAAAACTATGCCTATGATCAGTCTGTTAATGCAAATCAGACTGATCAGTCTGGTTTCCTGCTGGATCTGCATTCACATATGAAAGACTATGAGTCTCAAACAGGCAGGAGTGTCCTTCCAGCATTACAGCCAGTTTATCAGTCAGCTCCTGCAGTCTGGAGAATAAAGCTCTCAGAGAGAAAGATCTCCATCCTCCTAGAAGTGCTGAAACTGCAGACAGAGAAGAAACCAGTAGAGCTGATAGACTGGACAGATGAAGAGAGTGAAGTGAGGGGATTCCTCCAGTGTCTGCCCTACATCTCACAGCTCAGGTGAGTCTATCATAAATAAATGAAATTAATAATGTGGAATTAATAAAGCTCTTGGAATTAATAAACGTAATGTCAACATTTCCTTTGGTGAGGCACTGCCTACCCTGACCGCACGTCCCTGGTTCACATATGCTGCGTTTGCAGTGCATAACTGATCCGCGGCTGTACCACAAACACATAAGCCTACTCACTATTTTTATTTAAAATCAGTTATTTTTATTTGAAATCAAGTTATATGCATCAACTTTTATTAAAAACTTGAATAGACGCACGTTTAAACACAATTTAAACAACTTATGCCTATAATTACATACATTACTTCTATTAAGTTGCTCAAGCAAGTGGTCAAATATTTAACCATGTACTTATATTTAAAATCGCAAACATTTTAAAATTGACAAAAACAGCCGGCTCTAATGGCTTTTCTTTTGCATTTAAATTTTAATACAATAAATCTTGCATGTCACAAAGAACTGTTTTTCCACCTCCACGAAGGCGAGTGTCATTCATTATGCACTTGTTGAGGTAAATTGTAGTTTTCCTTGCTTAACCCTGACCTTAAAGTATAAAAGATGACTGTGAAAAAAAGTAATATTTAATTAAATACTATATGGTGAGACTACTACATTTTATTAAATTAAATTAAACTGCAAACAGAGTATGTGTGAAATGGGCGTGTGACATAGCTAATACAGGACAAAACAGCACTTGACTTTATTGGAGCTCTAGATTAAAGGGATAGTTCACTTTGAAATTAATTTTGGTATGTTTTAGCTTACCTCAAGGGCATCCAAGATGTAGGTGTCTTTGTTTCCACAGTATTTTCAATTTTGATATTTTTAGGTCAAACCGTTCTTGTCTGTCAGTCATATAATGGAGATCTATGGTCACCACCTCAAAGAGCATGCACAGAGATGTCCAAATTAAACATGAATTAATGACTCGTAAATGTAAGTACACATTGATGGCCTAAGACATGAAACGAGCGGTTTGTGTGAGAAAACGAACAGTATTTATATCGTTTTTACCTCGAGTAACCACAGCCACATCCAAGCGATATAAGGGTGTGGGCGCTTTCGGTAACAAGAGGTAAAAACTATATAAATACTGTTCGTTTTCTCACACAAACTGCTGGTTTCGTGTCTTACGCCATCAATGTGTACTTACATTTACCAGTCATTAAATCATGTTTAATGTGGACTTCTCATCTTTGAGGTGGTGACCATAGACCTGCATTATATGACTGACAGACAAGAACGGTTTGACCTAAAAATATCAAAATTGAAACTACTGCGGAAACAAAGACACATACATCTTGGATGCCCTTGAGGTAAGCTAAAACATACCAAAAATTAATTTCAAAGTGAACTATCCCTTTAAGTGTTAACTGTCAAATCAGAAAACAAACAGTGTAGAAACTGTGTGTCTGACGCAGGTTCATCTTCATATCAAGTGAATATGTGGCAATTACATGTTCTTGAAATTAAAGGATAATTCCGGTATTTAACACCTTGAGTCTATTTTGTAGACTCATAGAAGTATCGGAAGTAGCATTCCAATGGTATTTTGTGTGTTAGTTAGCGAAGAGGCTAGCTGTTTTTTGGAGAATTATTTTACTATTTAAAGACGCAAATCTTTATGAGAGATGACGTTACAGAGCTCAGGGACAACATGTGCTGTTCGCAGTTGTATGTATAACCGGACTAAACTAGTTCAGTGGCTTAAACGTGATTGTTTTGAACATAAGCTGAAATACAAAATCAGAGTGATCCTGCCAGAGCCCGTCTCTGATCCTGCCAATGACTGTAGTTTCCATCACCTCGCCAAAAGACGACGAGTCTTCCTGTGTACATTTGTTTAAATTCTTAATATTCTCTAAACTCTCTCAGCATGTGATTGGCTGTTCGCTACTGATGTTACACCTAAACTCAGGATCAAAGCCTGTGTTGACAGAATACCAAATGTGCCAGTTAATGTATTCAGTAGCACATTCATTTATAATTTTGAATAAACTCCAAAGCACAATGACTAAGTGTGTATTTTTTATTTTAATTGTTTGTCAGCTCGCACATCTGTCTGTCACCATGCCTTGATGAGTATTGATTATTAATAATGTTATATAATACTCCCAACCAACTACTGCGGAGGGTAAAGGTACTGTTATTTCACCCTTTTGAATTTCGTTGAGGTGTTCCCACATCGTTAGCTAGTTTGGATCGCTATAACTTCAATGACTGTCAACTGTTGAATGAACGAGTGTCAAGCATGTCAAGTCGCGCTTTGTTTACTTCCAACCGGAAGTCGCGTCCACTTTTGACGCAAGGCCTCATGGGGCGTAGGAAACTTGTGGATAGAAGAACAAGAGGCAAAACTCTGATGCTTTTTTGGTAAAAGCCACTAGATGGCGCTTCGTTAGCGCAGCCGCCATATCAGGGGTGAAAATTCCAACTGGAGTTACTGGACAGCGGCACAGATAACAGTTTTTTGAGGTAGTTTTTTTCTTGCATTAGTGAGTATTTCCATTGTATGCAACTTTACACTTTTACTAACTATTATTAGTTACCAACTCCACCAAGCCTTAAAAACATATTTTGGACGTTTTAATCCCCTGGATCATCAACGATTATTAATATAAGATAGGCTAGTACTGCAAAAAACAAAACAAAAAAAACTGTTTACTGTAAAGCTATTCTATTGCTGTTATATATTTATTGTCAAACATTTACATTTTAGTACAACATTTATTTGCTGAATTAATTTATTTCATTGATAACTTATTTTTGTAAGTAACGTTATGTGTACCTCCCGGAAAACGGTCTAAAGTTATTACAACTTTATGAACTGATATCACTTTATTCTTACCTATCACACTTAATGTGGAGAGTAATATAATGAATTAAATCCTTAAACTTCCCTGTCTCAAGTTATGTGGGGGTAAAAGCCCGGTTAAGTAGCAACTTCTTTTTTAACTGCTATAAAGTTAACTTGTGAGTTAAATAATCACCTAGCCTAATTATTTCAACCTAAAAAAGATCTCTGCACTGGACTAAATATATGTATATTATATGACTGCCGAGTCGCTTTCACCCAGGAATGGCGGAAGCGTAGGGCTGCTGCTGGGCGCTGGTGTTGCAATAGAACGTTCTATGGGCTATATGCACGCATAAGTTCCGCATTTGACGCAAGGATGCTCGTCCATTTCCGGTTTTGGAGATTAAAGCGGAGGAAAACTGAGGAAAACGGGATTATGGCAGTGTCTTCAAAATTTACTGTCCTTCCGTCTTTGAAACGAAACGTACACACGTTTAGATGGAATTTTATATATAGTTAGGTTTATTTAATATAATTTTAAAAAGAAGCATAAACACAACAAGGGGTGTCTGTTTTATCTGTTTTTGTGACTAACGTTTCTTTATTATAACCATGGAGTATAAAATTCAATATATATTCTCGGTATTGCATTGGACTATACCGCCGTGCATAGAGCCCATTGGCTTTCACTTCTTGTCAATAAACGTTCTTTGGCTCAAGCTACCCTTCTGAGAGACGGAGAACCCATAGATATCTATATAAAGGCTAGATATGTCGTCCACGCTGCTGGCCAATGGAGGTCGACGTCTGCACCTGCGGCCATCTTGTCACAGGCAGCTTGCTCACTCGTAACATTGTGTTAATGGTACATGTACTTTTTAAATGACCATAACCTGCTCAATTTTCTACCGATTTTCAAACGGTTTGTTTTGTTATAAACGTCACAGATGTAGTTATGACACTGCATACTTATGAATTAAAAGTGTATAAATAAATAATCATCCAGATAATTATAGCCACGTTAATATTGTTTGTTAGAAACCAAACCGTTTGTAAATCCGTCAAGATTTCAACGAGATAAGAGTATTTGTGTTCGTGCTGACCACTCATCTTACATCAGCTTGTCTGTGACAAGATGGCGCCGGTGATGACGATGGAAACTCCGCCGTAACACATCTAGCCTTTATATACATATCTATGGGATAACCGAGCGAAAAAGACTACAACCAAATGTAAACAGACCCCTTTCCTTTACCAGTAGCTAGCCCAGTAATATCAACCAGCACTGAGTCCTCCAGCAGACATTAATGCGATTTTTAAAAAAAAGACAAATAAAACACGACAGAAACGGTATTTCGCTACACTACTTGTTTCAGAACATCAACAAACACCACCAACCACTCGTTGAGTTGCACAGTTTTGAAAATGAACGTTAAGGGTTGTTTTATGGACATGTTTGTGCATGCCCATAGACAGCCAGTCTAACGCTGTCACAGGCGATTCTGAAATAGTCAAAAAGTCGAGACAGGACCCATTGTCAAAATTTCTAAGTCCACCACTCTATTTAATTCAAAACAAACTACAAAATAGACTCAAGGTGTTAAATACCGAAATTATCCTTTAAAGGGTTAAGGAAATTACTTAATTTTAATTGTATTTAGATTCCAAAAGATAGAAGCTACAAAAAAATACTTCTTTTACTAAATTCAATTTAGGATCATATCTTCACTTTTATTCAATATTATATATTCTCCTTGTTAGATTTTGGTGATGCCGAGCAGTGGTTTCAGTGGCTCGCCAATGTATTGGATTTCTCCAATACATAAAATAAGTAAGCTTGACCAGTTCTTGTGGGGAGAAGAATTTATTGAAGGTTTGTAGTGTAGCAGTCCTTCAGCAGCGATGTTATCATGTCACCCTTCAACAATCTTAACCCAATGTTCTGTCTGTAAGACAGAACTTTATACATGAAGATTATGGGCTACAAACAATAGAAACCTGTTAGGACCTCCCACAGGAGATGCTAATCCACTCTGAGCAATGCTGAGTCTTTGTCATTCACACCAATCAGTTTCTGTGGGCCATACATCTGAATGGGCCATTCATCTGTATGGGCCATTTGACACACACCTTTGCAGACACCGACAGAGTGGATTATTATGATACACGTCACAATGTAAATGAATCTGATAACTGAAAATACAAAATCTATCATCCTACACACAATAAAGTGATAATTATGTGTGTCTCCACAGATTTTCTGACGTTATCGACGGGAAGAGAGAAACTGCTGTAAAGTTTCTGCTGAATCTGTTTGTTTCAGCTTCAGAGTTTGATGCAAATACAGAAGAAAATTACACTGAACTATTAACATCTGTGTGCAGCTACACATCTTTCCCCTATCAGGAGAATAATTGTTATACCGGGACTCAGTGTGATTTCCTGCTGGATCTGTGGTCACATGTGAAGGACTATGAGACTCAAACAGGCAGGAGTGTCCTTCCAGCATTACAGCCAGTTTATCAGTCAGCTCCTGCAGTCTGGAGAATAAATCTCTCAGAGAGAAAGATCTCCATCCTCCTAGAAGTGCTGAAACTGCAGACAGAGAAGAAACCAGTAGATCTGAGAGACTGGACAGATGAAGAGAGTGAAGTGAGGGGATTCCTCCAGTGTCTGCCCTACATCTCACAGCTCAGGTGAGACTCTCATGGGCAAATACTGTACAAACTCACAGTTTCATTGTTTATTTTAATGTTGTCATTTGCATTAATAAATAATGTAATTTTAGATTAATACATTTTTTATAAATATATGTTAAAGGAGTAGTTCACTTTTGAAAAAACTTTTGCTGATAATTTACTCACCCCCATGTCATCCAAGATGTCCATGTCTTTCTTTCCTCAGTCGAAAAGAAATTAAGGTTTTTGATGAAAACATTCCAGGATTTTTCTCCATATAATGGACTTAAATGGGAACCAGACGGTCCAAGGTCCAAAATACAGTTAATAACAGTTTCAGATGCAGCTTCAAATGTCTTTAAACGACACCGGATGATGAATAAGGGTCTTATCATGCGAAACGATCGGTTATTTCAAAACTTATTCCAAAAATGTAACTTTTCTAAGGACAAATGCTAGCCTTGATCTATTCTGTGAGGCGCGTTTATAACGTCACGTAATACGTAATTACGTTCAAAAGGTCACGGGCGACGTAGCCGGAAGTACAGAGTCAGTGTTTACAAGTTGAACGCATAGGTTGAACGTGAAAACTAACTCAAACGCCGTTTACAAAAAAGGAATTAAAAGGTATAACAACGATGTCGGACGATTTTGATTCTGTACTTCCGGCTACGTCGCCCGTGACCTTTTGAACGTAATTACGTATTACGTGACGTTGCAAACGCGCCTCACAGAATAGATCAAGGCTAGCATTTGTCCTTAGAAAAGTTACATTTTTGGAATAAGTTTTGAAATAACCGATCGTTTCGCATGATAAGACCCTTCATCTGGTGTCGTTTAAAGACATTTGAAGCTGCATCTAAAACTGTTATTAACTGTATTTTGGACCTTGGATCGTCTGGTTCACATTTAAGTCCATTATATGGAGAAAAATCCTGGAATGTTTTCATCAAAAACCTTAATTTCTTTTCGACTGAGGAAAGAAAGACATGGACATCTTGGATGACATGGGGGTGAGTAAATTATCAGCAAAAGTTTTTTCAAAAGTGATCTAATCCTTTAAGTTCCCAAGTTCTTTTTATAAGTCCAGCACATCCCAATTTTCAAGGTCATTATGTATAAATAAGCACAGAATTGCTGTTTCCATGCTGGTGTTGCTGGTCTGTTTTGAACATGTATTCATTCTAGTTCTCACATGTAACAAAAAAATCACTGTTTTTGTAGGTTACCTCCTTCACAGAATGAATACTTGAAAGTAACTGACTGGAGATTGAAATTAATGGTACTTGATATGTGTCTGCAAGTGCCTGTTTTAAAGAATGAAATCACAAAGACATCAATGGATACATTATACTCTTACATATCCTATGGAAATTGTGATTTCCTGTTGGATCTGTATTTGCATATGAAGGTCTATGAGACTCAAACAGGCAGAAGTGTCCTTCCAGCATTACAGGTCATTTTTCAGTCATTGTCTGCAGTCTGGAGAATAAATCTCTCAGAGAGAAAGAGCTCCATCCTCCTAGAAGTGCTGAAACTGCAGACAGAGAAGAAACCAGTAGAGCTGAGAGACTGGACAGATGAAGAGAGTGAAGTGAGGGGATTCCTCCAGTGTCTGCCCTACATCTCACAGCTCAGGTGAGACTCTCATGGAAAAATACACTCATAGTTTGATTCAGTTTATTTTAATGTTGTCATTTAAATGCATTAATAAATAATATAGTTAATTTAAATTAATTACAAAAACATTCATGTCAGATTCTGTAAGCTTAATTTCTATTGTTTTAATGTAGCTGAAGATTTTAGCTGTAAGACTGTAAGACAGATCTGTTGTTTTGATTTTTAGTTCCCACTGTTTACATTCACTTGAGATGGAACGGCCTGCATTTACATTAATATTGAGCCAAAACACACTGAGAGCAGAAAAGTGATGAAATCAACCCTTTTTTTCATGACCGTGCACTTGAACAGATTTAAGGGGTCTTTACATGATGTTTGTAATTATTTTAATATTTTCACTATTTTAAATACAGTTATGTGACTGGTCACGGAAAGTAGGGACACAAGTCGGTTCTGGGTCATTTTGAGTTATTCACGGAATCTGTCTCCAAGCTTTCCAACAATATGTAACACATGGAAAACTGATAATGTTTGGATAAGTTGTGGCCATTTGAAGGTAGGCACTCAAAAAAGCTTAAAGATGAGAAAACGGCCTCTAAAGATTGTGCAGTTTTCATCTCTCTGTCCTGCTGGGAGTCACAATGGAGCTCATTTACATCTCATTTAGCCCTGTAAAGCTCCCCCTGTAAAGCACAGGGGGGAGCAACAAGGCCAGGAAAATGTGCCATCAAAGAAAAAATAAATTTGCAAACAGGTAATAAATAAATAAATAAATGTCTCTTACGATCTACCAAAAAAGTGTAATCAACTCTTATGTACACTGAATAAAAGATAAGATCTAGAGCAGGGGTCTCCAACCATTTTTAATTTGAGAGCTACTTTTTAAAAATGAAAGTGGCCGAGAGCTACTCATGTAATACAGTAATGTCTCATAACTCTCATATTAACAGCTATCCAAACTGTTTTTTGAGAGCTGCGTTGGCTAACGCGATGGGAACGCTCTGCGTGATTGCGACGTGAAGCGTCTGTACAATCAGTCCAATGAGAGAGTAGGACGTCAGGTAATGTCATTGACCAGGAAACTATATAGCACCCTTGGGATCAGACCGCCACAGCTTCTGGAAAGGCCTGAAGCAAGTCGATCAGGGCATGCAGGAAATATGGCAGGTGAATGCAGCTCTCGTTCCCTCTCAGGGAACCAGGGTTACATACGTAACCTGAGACGTTACCTTTCAAGGGAACTTCGAGCTGCGTTGGCTAACGTGATGGGAACTCCATACCCACTATGCCATGCTGAGAAATGCCCGTTCTGTGTGAAGTCGAATGCGCACACTAAGAAGCGAGCAACCTAGCCCCGGGAGTGGAGAGGTCTAGGTCATAAAACCTGACAAATGTATGCGGCGAGGACCACCCTGCCGCATTACAAACGTCTTGAAGGGAAACACCCGAAATTAAAGCTTTAGAGGCAGCCATACTCCTTGTAGAATGGGCGCGGACCTCCATAGGTAAGGGACGTCCGACCGCATTATAAGCAATAAAGACAGCCTCAACTATCCACTTGCTCATCACTTGTCTCGATGCCGGGTGTTATGGATTCTTTCCTCTAACCCTTACTACTCTACAATAATACTCACTCTAGTTGGCCAAGTCTTATACTTATACCAGCGCATCTACACATCGATGTCCGCTGAGTCAATTAAACCTACCCTATACCCTAGCGCATCTCCAGTCGACATCCGCCGGGTACTAATCCTATAACCCTGGCGCATCTACAGTCGACGTCCGCCGGGTGCTAATAATTCTAACTTACTTGTTCTTGCTGCGCAGCTTAAATAACAGACAGACTCCAGCAAATGTCCTTTCAATGCTTTTAATTACGGCCAGGAGAGTTCTTGAGCAATACTCAGAGAACTTCCCAAGTAAAAACAAGGCCGGTGGATCTCAGACAAATTCCATTGAGAATCCCTCCGAAAACACCGATACAACAGTTTTTATACAATATGTAGGAATGCCATAATGACATTAATTTCATTGGTTCTTGATAGGTAGACTGTTTTGTTACTGGGTAGAGGAGACTTTGTTTTAATGTTTCTAACTTAGTCATCTGTCTAGTTCCATTTCCCATATCTGTTATTTATACACAGTCAGGTGTTTGACACACATACATTCATCTGAAGTACAGAATGCCTTCTCAGATATTCAGCTGGTTAAATGAGGTCAAATGTTAAAACATGGTTAGCTTAATATTCAGTTTAAAATTTTCCACCACACGGGCAACCTTTCTTATTTGAACCAAAGCAGACAGATAACTGCTCTGACTTACGCCACAGGGCAGCTCTGTGAACATAGGCATCCAATGCCCGAACTGGACATAACAGATTGAGACTTTCCTGATCTGGAGTATTGAAGTATGGAGGACAGAAGGCCTGCAGCACAATAGGACCCATCACATTAGTAGGGACCTTAGGAATATATCCCGGCCTAGGGTATAGAAATGCTTTAACCATACCAGGTGCAAATTCCAAACATGAAGAAGCAACCGAAAGAGCTTGTAGATCTCCAATTCTCTTAATAGAAAAAAATAGCGAGAAGAAATGAAGCTTTTAAGGTGAGGAATTTTTCTAAAACCTCTTAGATAGGCTCGAAGGGAGCCAAAGCCAGACCCTCGAGTACAATGGCCAGGTCCCAAGCCGGCGCTCTGGAGTGCAAAGCAGGCCTCAGCCTCAGTGTTCCACGGAGAAGACGAGTTATTAGAGGAGCTCTCCCAAGATAAGAAGCCCCAGCAGGGGATCTAAAGGCAGATATGCAACATACACAAATAAATCAAAGGTTAATATATTAAAGTTTCTTTATGATTCAAAATGTCCAGCAGAGAAACGGTCTTGAAGGATATCGAGAACTGTACCGACCGGGCAGTCAACAGGATTTAAAGTACGTACTCCGCACCATGTAGAGAACAATTTCTATTTCAAATAATACAGTTTTCTCGTGGAGGGAGCTCTGGATTGAAGAATGGCCTCCACGACCTCAGTCGAGAGACCAGTATTCACGAGCTAGGCCCCCTCAAAGGCCAAGCCCATAGTTTCCACAACTCGGGGCGAGGGTGAAATATTGTGCCCCCCGCCTGTGAAAGCAGGTCCCTCCTGATCGTAATCTCCATCGGAGAGCCGTCCAAGAGAGACACTAGGTCCCCAAACCATATTCTGGTCGGCCAGTGTGGGGCTACTAACAACAGATGAGCCCCTTCCTGGTGAACTCTTTCCAGAACTCCCGGGAGCATTGATATCGGGGGGAATGCATACAGGTGTAGCCTCGGCCACACCTGCACCATCACATCCAGTCTGAGAGGAGCTGGCTGCGTGAGGGAGAACCATAACGGACAATGAGTTGTCTCCTGAGTTGCAAATAGATCGACCTGAGCCTGACCAAAGTTCTCCCACAGGAGCTCCAGCACCTCCGGGTGGAGTCTCCACTCCCCGGGCTTCAGCCCCTGTCTCGACAGAATATCGGCCCCTACATTCAGATACCCCGGAATATATATTGCCCTCAGTGACAACAATTTCCCCTGGGTCCATAGGAGGATCTGCAGAGCCAACTTGTATAATGCTCTGGACCCCCCTGATGGTTTATGTAGGAGACCACCGAAGTGTTGTCCGTGCGGACAAGCACATGATGGCCCCTCAGGTCTGTCAGGAAGTATTTGAGAGCCCGAAACACTGCCATTATCTCTAGTTGGTTTATATGCGAAGACTGCTGATGGTCCTGCCATAGACCTGTCGCCGAGCGGCCACTCTTGACCGCCCCCCAGCCTGTCAGGGAGCATCGGTCAATATTGTGACGCATCGACAAGGAACCCCCAAAACTGGGCCCTGGGCAAGGAACCAAGGTTTCTTTCACATGACCAAGGCACGTAAGCATTGCCGCGTGACCTTGATCATACGAGACGGATTTGCCCTCGGAGAAAACCCCTTGGTCCTGAGCCACTGCAGGGATTTCATGTACAGAAGGCCAAAAGTAATCACGTTGGACACAGCTGCCATGAGCCCCAACAGTTTTTGAAACTGTTTCACAGTGAGTGACTGGCCTAGTTTCACATTCTTTACGGCTGTAAGGATCGCAGTTATACGTGCTGGAGACAATCTTGCTTGCATTGTTGTCAAATCCCACACTACCCCCAGATAAGAGGTCCTCTGTGCTGGAAGGAGCACACTTTTCTTGGTATTTAGCCGTAACCCCAACCTTTTCATGTGTGACAGAACAACATCTCGATGTTGAACCGCCAACTGCTCTGACTGAGCTAGGATCAACCAATCATCAATATAATTTAATATGCGAATGCCCTGGGATCTGAGAGGAGCCAGCGCTGCATCCACGCATTTCGTAAAAGTGCAGGGTGATAGACCTAGGCCGAACAGAAGGACCCGGTACTGGTAAGCTTCGCCCCCAAAAGCAAACCTCAGGAACCTCCTGTGATGAGGATGGATGGATATGTGAAAATAAGCGTCCTTCAAATCTATTGTGACAAACCAGTTCCCGGACTGAATCTGTGACACGATCAGTTTGAGTGTAAGCATCCTGAACTTGAGCTTTTGAACTCTGCTGTTTAGCTGACGCAGATCTAGAATAGGACGTAACCCACCATCTTTCTTGGGAACGATGAAGTATCGGCTGTATAACCCTGACTCTCTGCTGGTAGGAGGAACCCTTTCTATAGCCCCTTTTTGCAAAAAGCGTTATTACTTCCTGTTCCATAACCCGAGCCTGCTCGGGGACCACCACTGTGGGAAGGACCCCTAAAAATCTGGGTGAATGAGAACCGAACTGAATTCTGTACCCCTTTTCTATCACATTGTAGACTTGGAATTAAAGCCTCTTGTGTTTCCCCGTTATTATTCAATTTACGGGACCGGACACCAGTTATCTTGCAAAGAAAGTTTTATTATATATTATATATATGTCAGGAGAGAAACTTCAAGATGTTGTGTTCATGCCTGGTCTATGCGTTTCTCTGAGGCGGTACAATGTGACATTGAGTTTTATACAT